ACCTCTTACTGGTTCAGCACTTACCAATTCAGAAGTTGCCAAACAGCCCCTTAGTTTTAATATTGATGTGCATGTACTAAAATTTATATAAACATTTATTTTGAGATGTACCCCTCTGTCCTATATCTTTCTTCCCGTTGCGCAAAACGAAGAAAAATCCCAAATTTTTTCAATCTATTTTATTTAAATATTGGTATAGAAATAAAAAATAAAATATACATATTTAAAAACTACATCAAAAGTTCAAAAGACATCTGGCTTTCTTTTTTAAAATATTAATAAAGTTCATAAATTTTTTTAGTATGTATGAAACATATTTTTAAAAAAATATTTTAAAATGGTGTAACGTATTAACTCTAAATGAATGCAAATATCAAATGAAATATATTAAGATTGGGGGCAAATACACAGTAAAAAGTATGATGAAGTTCAGTGATGGCACTCCCAATTTTTAAAAGTGTTTGATAATGATAAAAATAAATATATTTAATTTCACCGGGGGCAAATTAATTTTTACCAGGGTCTTTCTTTTAATTCACTGTAAAAAAATTATTTCAATACTTTATATTACGGAGTAAAAAAATTGACTGGGGCGATTACCCCCGTATTCATACATGTAGATCCGTCCCTGATCCCTTCGTTTTAAAAGGATTATCATAGTTTTAAATTTTTGGTAAAATTATGTAACACCTTAATTACAAATTAAATACAATATTAAATAAATAAGTAGCATAAAAATATGATATATAAAACAGTATTTTAAAGTGACACATTTTTTAAATTTACATTATAATTAAATGTAATATACTTTTTGCACATTTTGTGGTCAAAGTATAGAGTCTTATATGTGGCTCCTTAAAATAAAATATGTAAAAAAAAGTGAAATTTGCACTACATAATGACTTTTCTAATGTAGGATTTAAACTTTTTTATTCTCTAAATAAGACGTAATAATGACTTAGTGAAAGGAATAAAAACATATGGTTCTATATTGAGAAAGTTATTATGTTTTAGTCCTATTTAGGTAAATTTCTCAAAAAAAAAATAAATTTTTTCTGACCAAACTTCAACTTTCATCTTCAAAATTGAGTACTCATTCCATCCCTAAAAAAGATTATAATTTTTTTTCTCTCCTCTCGATTTTGTTTGTTTATGCGATTTCATCAAGTATTTGATAAAATAAAATATTCTTGTCACCTCTTATTTTGTAGAACTTTTGACGTAATTTTTTAATATGTAATTTTTATATCTTATTGATATACCAATTTATAAATAAAATGATTTCAAAAAGTAGAAAATTTCACTCCATAACCCGCAATTTGTAATCAAATTTGGGACGGAGGGAGCATGTAAAAAAACGAAGTAATTTAGAGTTGAGATATGTTAGGGGTACACCAAAAAAACGAAGTAATTTCACCACCATCTTTTTAACTATTCATTTTATTTTATTTTTATTTTTTATTTTTTTTTTTAAAATTTTCTTACCTTTTTGTGTGTTGATGGAGGGGGTGTGAGATGTTTAGGTTCACTTTTAGAGTTTTATACCAGGCATGCGGAGTAGTAGGAGTCATCACGTGATTTGACATTTGAAAAATGGGACAGTTGGAAAGGAGCCGTTTGAAATGTAATAGCGCCGGCGAGGGAGGGTTTCATATCGTCCCCAATTTCTCGGAAAACTCTGGCTTCATTTTTTTTTTTCAAGCGTAATCGCCCCATCAACACCACACTCCCGTCGATCCTCCTCTCCTCCCACATGTGTTTGTAGTTCAAACGTTCCCATAGACCACCTATATAAGATGATGAGCTACAGTATCCCTACTTTCTGCGGCAGCCATATCTTGCAAAACAGGGTTTTCAAGAGATCGTTCAAATCAAGGCTCAGGCAGCGACGCAGAACAGATCCACTCCGGCGGCGTAGGGGGAAGTCCTGGCAGCGGCGGCGGAGGAGAAAAGATGCACCCCGGCAGAGGAGAACAGAACTATTGCGGCGAAGAGAATCGCCCGGACAGACCTGGAGAAACTGGGCCCAGGTCATCTTCTTCTCTCTCCCTCTCTCTACGAACCCCCGTCCCTTTTCTTCTCCATCTTCATCAGTAATCACCCAATTTCAACCAAATTCCTTGAACTTTCTTGAATCTTTATCATTTTTCTTATGAATCTCAGGATTATGATGCATCCCCCAGTCGAGGAACCAGAGACTCAAGAACCTGAAGCTCCATTTTTGACTAACGAAGGTGAACAGTACTTCATCCACCCTCAACCCAATGCAACAGATGGAGTGAACCCGGAGGGACCCAATGCAACAGATGGAGTGAACCCTGAGGGAGAAGCCAACATGGAAGGCAGGGAGCAGGGCAACATTAATTACAGCCCTGGATTCGTCCGCCGTGGCCTCTTCCACGGCCGCGGACGCCGTGGTGGTTGTGTGCTATACTGCAGAATGGGGAACGTTTGGCGTGCTGAAAACCAAAGTAAGAATTAGTGTCCTAAGTGTAAGAATTAGTATCCTCCTAAATGGTAAATACTACGGAGTAAATACTTGAGTAAAATGCACTCACTCCTATTCCCTTCCGTATCATTTCATCTCCAATTGAGTAGTTACAGTGCTAAAGTTCACAAAATTGATTGTATCCACTGTTTTGTCCTCAGTAAACTCCTACATCATCCCAACCTCATGTCTGAACGCAGCTCCTTAAGCCACTTTAATAGCATCCCCAAATTGTAGCTGATTTTGAAGTTGAAATTGAAAGGATAAGGAGTTGATTTGATTTGGGCTGGGGGAAGGGTTGAAATTGTAGCTGATTTTGAAGTTGAAATTGAAAGTAAGGTTGAAGCCATCAATTTTGTGTTCTTTATTAGTTCTCTCCTTTCTTCAACCGGACTCCGGAGTATATAAATTCCTTTAAATTACCCAGCATTTATTTGATGCTTCTTCAATTTGGTTTTTCTAGTTCCATAGTAATTAGATTCATGCCCGGATAGAAAATTTCCAAACCCTTTTTTGAATGGACTCAAAATGAATTGTTGGGAGCTTGAACAAAGAGATACCGCAACAGTACCAGGAGATTAATTTTTTATTTTGGTTCCTATATCTCTAATCTATTGACGATAATTATAAGAATATTAAAATTGGTGTTTTTATGCAATATTGTATATTGTTCCACTAAGCTCTCTCGTTTGTGAAATTGATTATAAATGTTTTAGGACTTGTCAATAACTTTTACGGAGTATTTGTTTTTAGTATTTTCATTAGTTATTTACGGAGTATAAAATTAGAACCACTAGTTTTGTAAAAATTCCTATGTAGTATTTATCATGCAAATGTTATGATTTATTCTCATAGCAAATTTTTATAAATTAATTTCGAAAATTGCGTATTTTTATCTTGTAAATGTAAAATTATAATCTAATTAGTGTTAATCCCGTGCTTCGCACTGATGTGTATACATTTTATAAATTTTTGCATTCTATAATTATATCTTTATTTATTTTAGTTTTCTAAAAGGTACATAATGTGTTAGATGATTTTTTTATAACTCTAAGATATACTCCCTCCGTCCCAAAAAGAATGGGACAGTTTGATTTTTTGGGAAATTAAGGGAAGGATATTTTGGTATTGACTTTCCAAAAATATCTTTGATGTGATGGGTAAAAGAAGGATGTAATGGGTAGATTATTAAGAAAAAGATATGATGTGATATGTAGCGTATGAAAAAGTAAGGGGTAAAAGTGGTTTTTTAATAGAAATGTAACGAACTTTACTTGACGCAATTTTTTCTAAACGTAACAAACTTTTTGGGACGAAGGGAGTATCTTTTTTCAAATATTATACTTTAAATATAGATGTACACGCACTAAAGATTCTATAAGAATTTTTTAAGGTAGTAAAAGAGAACTAATTTACTAGTATTTTTTTAAAAATATCATATGAAACTTATTTTTTCAAAACATTGATAAAGTTAAAAAATATTTATAGATATGAATATTTAATTATATTGGTATGTTTATTTATAAACAAAAAATTTATACAAAACTAATGGCCATTTTTGAATGAATTACTAATGAAAATAGTTTTAATTAATAAAAAATTATAATAAAAATGGACTTATTAAATAATGATACATCATTATAGAATATATGTGTGACAATATGTGTGTGTGCATGCGTGTGTGTGTGTGTCTATATATATATATATATATATATATATATATATATATATATATATATATATATATATATATATATATAATACGGAGTATATTTTACAATGATGCAATATATTTTTAATAAAATTGTTAAAAATGATATTTCTTATACAAAATATAATTAAAAAATGTTTTTAGGACTAAAATATAATATCTATTTAATGTAATAAAATAAAATACGTTAAGAGATCTTTTTAAAAATTAAATGATCCGAACCGATGTTATTTGGCCGATGGAATATATCTATATTATTCTACGATTGTCAAATCTCTCTCCGAACCAATTGGTCATAAACCACAGACTTATAAAAAAGCTTAAGAGGCGGCGAGAAAAGATATTGAACAAGTCTTTGGGGTCTTGAAGGGTAAATGACACATTCTAGATCGACCGTCGAAATTTATTTTTAAACGAAAATGAGGAATATCATGTATGCATATATTATTTTTCATAATATGATCATAGAGGACAACGAGACTGCGATTTGTCAATACAACTTAGACAAGGAGGTGCATATGTACGAAGAAATCAACGAAAAAAAGAAATGAAGAAACCGCCAAAAAATTTGAAGCCGAGATATTCAGAATGCACTAACGGTGGATTTGATCAAACAACATATTTTTAGTCGCTCAAATAATTAGTAATTTCTTTGTAGTGTTTTTTTATGTAATATTTTTTTAATGAATGTAATTTTTTTTTGAATGTATTTTTTTTATGAATGTAATTTTTTTAATGAATGCAATTTTTTTAATGCATTAGTCTCATTGCTATTAATTTAACTAATAAATTAATTTAAATTTAGAAGATGTGTACTTAAAAATGTAAAAAATAAAAGTTTAAAGTCTCAATTTGAAGCCCAATTTCCAATTAATCTGTGTGGTAAATTAAAGCTGACGTGGCACATAGAAAAATTTTGAAGCTTACATTTGAAGTCAGAATATTTCGAATGCTCTTCGGGCAGCACAAGGTCACGATAAACTTGGATTTTGAATCCACGATACACACTTTCAATATACGGAGTCTAGTTTATACTCCGTAAAATTCATAGTGGCAAGAGAGTAAAATGAAACGTTATACAGTGACAAGTCATTGTATTTGTTCTTTTGTAATTTACTTTCTTTATTAAAAAAAATGTTTTAGTCATATTTTTTATTAGAAAAATAATTTTACTACCTTTTTAAGTTCAATACGGACTATTTGATATCTAAATTCATATTCCGTAATTATTGAATTTAATAATTCTAAAATCCTAATTAAGGAAAATAAAAATAAATAATCAAAGAAGAAAAAATCCCAAAAAAAATATCCTCTCAACCCTGCCATCCACCAATCTTTCTCTTCCCCGGTCGGCTCCTCATATTTTTATTGGATAAAGCTAGATGTACCCCAACTTTTGTACCCACTTTATACCACGCAGGTTTATACCGACACTTTGTGTTGGTGTAAAACTAATTTTATTTAATGCACTGATACTTTGTGTCCGTGTAAATTTTTGTTAAGGTACCAACACTTGTGTCGGTGTAAACTATCAAAATGTTTGTGTATAATTGCGGTGTATAGATGGGGTACAATTTGTGGTGTAAGTGTAGCATGACCCATTTTTCTTCTAGATCTGCTCTCCAAGCTCATCTATCAAAAAAAATATTCTTCCTTCTTAAAAAATGAGGAAAAAAATAAAAAATCAGAAAGAATGCCTCGAGGATGGAATGGGGAGCGGGGTGGAACGACCGGGAAGTGCCTCGCACCACGCTAACACATGCTGATGTGGCAAGGCGTGGTAGTGTCATGGAACGCTGTTGTTGGTGCTCTTATAAATCCCCCCAGGTTTCCATGACATTGGGATCGAATGTCATGGAATGCACGTGGTACTTCGTTGTTCTATTCGTAAAATTGACATTTCCTAGCGCACCTCCCCCGGTAAATCCCTAAATCCCGACCCGAACACACACACCCCTCTTCAATTGCACCCACTAAGTTAATTTTAACTTTGGAATCAAAATTTGAATTGGGGGTGTGTTTGGATCGGGGAGAGGTAGGGGAGGTAGGAATATACTCAAATTACGAACGGGAGGTCATTCCATCATGACATTGAGATTGATTATCAATATCATGAGAACTGGCCCGACTTAAAAAGGAAGTAAATGCATGATTTCAAATATTCCCTAATTAGAAACTGGAAATCCAAATTCACAAATGGTAATTAAAATTGTATAAAGTTTGTGTCATTTTTGTTTGTGATTGTAGAGTAAGTGGCCGAATTAATTACACTCCCTCCATCCAAAAATTATCTTCATATTTATCATTCACATGATCAAACTTTATTCATTTTATTGGTCTACTCATTTGATAAAATAATATAGTCATGTCACCTCTAGTTTTGTAGATCTTTTGATATAATTTTTTATTATGTACTCCCTCCATCCTAATTCTTTCTTCTCAGTTTGATTTTTCTCCATTTTTAAGTTTTGGTTTTGATTTCAAATTTTACCATCCTTAAAAAAGATTTTTTAATTTTTTTACAATCATATATTTAAAATATAGAGTTAGAAGATAATTGATGTAAATACATGAGGGTATTAATGTCACTTGTCACCCTTTTTTCCAATGGGAATGTAGTTTTAGGATGAAGAAAAATAGGAAGTGAGAAGAAAGTTTTAGGACAGAGGGGGTACTTTTTATGTTTTGATTTCACACAATTTTTCATATAAAATGATTTAGAAATAACTTTAGTCAAATATCGTAACATGCAACTGGAAAATAATTTATGGACAGGGGAGTATTATTTTTATATAGAGTAATACTCCCTCCGTCCGGGGATGATGTTCCCATTGTATGTTTTTTTCAGTCCGGGTATGATGTTCCTATTGTAAGTTTTTTGTCTATTCTTCCAAAATTACCATCATCCTCCATCCTTTCATCTTTTCTTCCTTTCTTTTTTTCGTTCCTGATGGATACCTTGGACCAGCGGCCGCATCAGGTGAAGCGACGCTCTAGGTTTGCCGGATGATGTCATCGACGTCGGAGCACAGTGTTCTTCTCCGCTCCTGAATGCTGTTCCCAGATCTGAACCAGGGGTGCTCAACCAGCCGATGCTCTCTAGGTCCAAACCCAATCAGTCCCAAGAGCTCCAAATCTGACACGAACAAAGCTCTTTCCCCGTCGCCGACGCCAAACAGCAATCCGGCTGTTGCAGCTGCCCTGGAAGTTGACGGCAATCAACAGCGAGGGTGTCCCTGCGACCCGCGGGTTTTTGACGGCGGTCGATGGCGTGGGTCCGGGCGACTAGGTCAACTCGCCGGACGAGGTCATTAACGCCGGTGTCGAGCGTCGCTCTCAGGTCTGGAAAGTCTGGAGTACCAGACGAACCCTTCGCCGAACATCACTGAGCACTGACGGCGAAGCCTAGTCCGTTCGTATCCCCCGTGACGGGCTTCGGGCAACACTCCAATCTCATATTCCGGAGGC